TGTATCAGTTAAGCTTAATTTAGCACGAAGCAATCCAACTAGTCCACAAAAAGTGCGCCTCTTGACTTAGACGCCGAACATAATGACGTTTTATAGCCGTTTCCGTGCGATATTTTATATGCTAAAATTAAACTCCAGACAATGAAAAATTATCATCATTTTTTTCTTCTTTATTAGTTGCTGACAGGATATTAGAGCGCACTCATGTACTTGGGGGTAAAGTGATGGATGTTAGACTAAGTCACGCCCAAAAGGTATTATTTCTACTGAACTGATTCGAAGATAGTAAGTTAACTGGAACATTAACTAGTTATTCTTCATTGTTCATTCACTGAAACTGAATTTCGCTACTAAAGCCTTCGTTTAGACGGTTCTTCTCCATTGCCCACTTCCCTATTTAACTTAGCAAACTAGAAAATGAAGCGAATGGCTCTTTCGATTGCTGACAACCTTTATTTTTCAAGCCAACGATGAAGTATGGCCATTGAGAAGAAAAACTCTTTCTCACAAGATCTTCATTTTCTAGTCGCTATTTTTCTATTTTGATATTATCTATCCCCTTGTGCTTCGCATTATGAATCGTTGTTAGTCCTTTTGTGGTTCAGTTGGAGCGTTTAACAATGGAAGAAAGTGCAAAGAAAATTACCACAACGGTCACTTGATCAGCCTAACATTACATTCATAGCGTCAAGCGTTCTGTGTGGGATCTAAACTGATCTATGCTGGCATGGTTTCCTGTAATTAAGTTGAGACATATCAGTCATAATTTTCTAACTGCATCTATATCAAGAGCACATATTGGTCCTACCTCTAAGCGAGCAGCAGTGCTTGGTAAAAGCAGTTAACCCTTTTTATTATTGCTTTTGTCAATTTCTAGCAAGTAAAGGAAGAGTATCAGGAGATAGTTAAAGCGTGCACCTTTGAAGTTGAACCAAATTTCATGAAACTATTCAGAAGGGTACACAAGGAAAAGCTTGAACAAATAGAGAGGGAGTCACTTAAGGATAGTTTGGCCTAAAAATGAGGCTCAAGTAGAGATCAAACCTACACCTTTAACGGAAGAAACACACTATCAAGAAGGATGCGATGCTTATATTGATTTGTACCAAACCACCCGTCATACCATGAAGCGACAGGTGATTGATGTAAGAGACATCCACGATGATGGGAAAATCAAGGAGGCGATTACATTCGTGGAAAGCAAACATCCCGTCTTCATTGAGAAAGTAGGAGGTCACTTAAGCGTTTAGAGCAAGGAAATTTATCTTGAACGCTCAGTGCAGACTCTAATAGAACGTTTGGCAACCTTAGGAAAGGTCAAAAGAACATAACTCATTCGCCTCACCATCATGAACCGCAATTACCTAAGATCCTTCTACAGATGTTGACAAATAACGTACTGGTATCCTTATATCAGGGACTGAGACATGACTGATGAGGAAGTCTATACCATTGTCAACCCAGCTCACCCCTGGCTTGAACGTTCACAAGACGGTGTAATTCGTACAATTTTGATAAAAGGGGGGAGTCAAATAATAGATGATTCTCTATATATTATGTCTCGTC